TGATAATAATAAGTAGCCTATCGCTATTTAAAAGTGTGAATTAAACAGAAGGAGGGACGTTAACTTGTTAATACAGGATTATAATTTAACTGCCACTCTGCGTGTTCCGTCCTCCCTCCTGACCCACCTGCAGCTGGTAGCGGACGTTGTTCTGCTTCAGCTTCGTCGCTCGGTCTCCCAGGCAACCGTAGTCCCATCCGGTGAACACGATGATGCTGTAGTTGCCCACGGCGCTGCCTCCCGTTGCCACGGCAACCCGAGCTGCGGTCCCCATCCTGCGCGGCCAATCAGAGGAGGAGGAGGAGGAGGATGGGAGTCATGGTGACTGAACTGTGTTTTTGTGTTTGTTTTTTTAAATGTCACTCTGTTTGTTTGCGACTGACCGTGCGATGATGCAAATGAGACAAAATGCAAAGTAGAAGACGGCGGTGAGCAGGTAGGCCAGAGGGATGTTGTAGGAGAAGCCGCTGTCCACCACGATGGTGTTGCTGTAGAAGCCGTAGAACAGGTACGAGTACTCCATGAAACCCTGAGCACAGAGCANTGTGGGAGGAAGCCGGAGAACCCGGAGAGAACCCACGCTGCACGGGGAGAACATGGAGACTCCACGCAGGAAGATCCCGGGTGTCCTCACCGGGATGTGAACCTGCGACCTTCTGGCTGTGAGGCCATGGTGCTAACCACAGAGACACCTGCAGCCCAAACTCAATTTAATTCCATTCCATTCAGGTAACTTTATTTATCCCGTAGGGGCTGCACCTGTACCCACCTACACCTGGACCCCACCTGGACCCCACCTGGACCCCGCCTGTCCCGTTTCTGCACAGATTATTGTGAGGTTAAAGATAAGTGCAGATACAAACAGCGAGGTCGCCGCTAACTCACCGGGTAGATTTTGTAGTTGTAGTGACACAGCTCACAGTCTCCACTGGTCATGTTTCCGTCACAGGTGATCTGAGTCCACAGGGTGAGGAGCAGGACGCCCAGGCTGACCAGACGCAGGAACACGGCTCTGCTCAAACAGGACGGACACTTTGTTTAGTAGAGATTATTAAACATGCCAAAGACAACCAGGCTGTGAAGGAGTGTTTCTCAAAAACAACCTTTTTTTTTTTTAGAACCCTAACCCTGTATTTTGTTTTACTTCCTTCCTTAAATGTTTGCACCATCTTTGCTGCTATAACGTTTATTAAAGGGTCGTCTGATCTGATCTACAGCTGGTTGCTCTTTAAACACGGTTTTAACACCAGCGTCTCACTTTTGCAGCAGTTTTTCTGTGTCCATGTTTCCAGGAACCAGATTCTGTAAAACAATAAAAGTTCTGCAGCTGTTGGTGTAACTGTGACGCCGCGAGCGACTCGGCCGAGACCAGCAGTCAGATCTCAGAAAACCAGGATCAACTGAGCTGAAGGCCGAGACATGAAACATTTCCTATCTGCAGCATTTCTTGTGTTTGTTCTTTGCAAAACAAATAATCAGAAATGTATTTAATGTTTTCTGATGTGTGTCCTGCTGACAGAAGACGTTCTCTCTCCTCCCTCATGTTGTTCTGGTTCCACAGAGCTGCAGGACTTTAGTGAACCTCAGTGAGTTAAAAGGAGACTTTCAGACCTGAGCAGAGCCAGGATGATGGTGGTGCTGGGAGAGTATCGCTCCACTAAAGCGATCTGGTCGCACAGCAGAGGAACCACGAAGTTTCCAGCCGTGATGACGATAGACGGCAGATACTCAAAGATCAAACCCAGGATTCCTGCTTGTCCGCTTCGTTCCTGTTCGGCAGAAAGACACCAACAGTCACCAGAAGCTTGACCGGAGCCTCGTCCTCACCCTGCTGTTGCTCAGCGGTTACCTGGCTGAAGTTCGTGGCCACAAAGATGCCGTAGAAAGCTGCTGCAATGAGCCCCAGAGCCACGAACCACATACAGACACGCAGGGAGTATAAAAGTGCTCGCTGTGAAAGTGTCAGAGCTGCTGCCTGCTGCTTGATCCGCTCCTCCTCCAGATCCACCTGGACAGACACAACACAGGTGAGGTGAGGTTTATACGCTTATTCTTAAACTGAATGTTGTAAAAACTCTTTTTATTGATGTCAGTCACAGTTTCTTGACTCAGGTCAACATTTTCAGGCAAAAACTGCAGAAACTAACAAGGATTCGTATAAAATATACACAAAATGAACAACAAGGAGACAAACGTGTCG